CTTATATTAAAGTTTTTCTTCATTACCCATTTAAGCCATCTCCATCCATTATTAGTCTCAAAGTGGGTTCCTCGTCATCAAATTATATGTATGTATAATGAGTCCAAAGTGTGAAAGTATACAATACTGGCTAACTCCATAAATAGGTAAATATTTTAAGCTTAGCTGGTAATTTATTGTTTCTAAGTCTTCCCATACACTAAAATGACTGTGAATTATAATTTTCTCTCACACACACATACTGCTAATTGTAGAATTCAAAATGGTCTATACCAGTGTTCGCTCTTAGCTGTGCAGCCACACAACAACCAGTCAAGTGCTGCACATATCCTCAGTAACGGTGAGGAGTTTCAACACGTTGATGGCCTTAATGACCCTGGCAGTTGATAGGCCTAAAGCCTAAATAACCAACTGGTAGCATTGCAAAGTGGCCTAATGGTCCAATAGGGTCAATGGTCTAAAAATAAACTGGTAGTGCACATGAAAAAATTCATTCTGCACATGGATTAAAAAAATTAGAGGGAACATTGGTCCATACGAAGATGCACATTACATTCTAATACTTTATACACTACATCAAGTTTTATTACTTGAGTAACCTCTAGATATTACTAAAGCTGTAATTAAGTTAAATATGTATGTAATAGTTAATCCACAATTATTCTGTATGTGCAAATAAAAAGAATGTATTATTAAAAAATACAATAGGCCTAATACTAATGTTTTATGACAAGTATAATTAATTAATTAATATCCTGTTGATGGTTGCCATCCATCCTTTTACATCTTGCTAGAGGATGGCTAGAGCTTTGTGTTTTGCATGTCCAACCAACCTGATAAGCTCCAATATTGCCTGAAAGACCTAGTCTACAATGGTGTGTGGTCAGTATGTTGTTACTGGAAACTTGTTTAGGGCCAATAGAGAAAGACTTATTCAAAAGTTATTGTCTTACTGTAATAATTGTCACATAAACCATGGGATCTCATCTTTTTTAACCATATACATTCTAATACGAGGTACATTTTTATTAATTTTCGTATTCCATGATTTATACAATTTCCAATACAGCAATTATGAACTAGCACTCCCTCATTCTTCATTGATTCGGATATCCTTTTTGCCTCACATTGCCGGACCATAAAAAAATCTTGAGTTGGTGTGATTTGCATTGAGGAAAAGTAACACTTTTCGTGGTTGGATCCAGAAGTTTCTTTTAACTAACTCCAACAACAACAAAAAAACAAAACATTTATCTTAACCAATGTTCTGGCATATGTTTTGGAAATATTTTAGAATGCTCTCCATTTTATACATTCTTAAAATAGATGTATCAATTGGCCACAGCAAGAATGACTACTTTTAGGTCCTTGGGTTTTGTTAAATAGTTTGTTACTCTCAAAATGTTCCACATTTCAGTGTTGATAATTTTCTATGTAACTTTACAAACAATGAATATCAAGCTCACTGTTTGGTAATAGTTTGGAGACTTTTTTACCTTTCTTTAATATTCATATTTATAATCTTTCAGTCACTAGGATATTTTCCTTGTTGAAAGGCTTGCTGGAATAATTCTGATAAAGAACATGAAATTTCATTTCTAATGTCTTTTACAGTTTATTAGTATTCAATGTATCCAGTAGCTTGCATACTTCATAGGTAATAAAGTTAATTTAATTTTAAATCTTACATGTAGAACTACTTTCAAGAGTACTTATAAAATTATCGTAGGTAAATAACAAACAGAACAAATTCTTCAACAATTCTGTTTTCCAATCTCTTCTGATATTTCTAAGCAATTTGGTGATATTAAGGTTGGAATTCCATCATTACATATAGTTTTTATTCTTTACAACTTTCCAGAAACATTTCCATATCCAGATTTGTTTTTTTAAAACCACGATTCATGCAGATAAAAGAAAATTCCTGGACCAATACTCACACTTTCAGGACTTTGATTCCTTCCACGCACGATTGAATTTGCATTTTCTGCCATTATCATACATCAAGCATGCCTGCCAGTAAAAATTTCAAAAGTCTCATGTTTCCCGAGGCACAAGACATGAAATATAAACAAACCTGATTTTGATAATCAAACTTTTTTGTTTGATTTTTAAAAATTCTAGCCAATTACTTCATGGAAACTGAGATATTTCAAGACTTCTATGATCATGACTTAAAATAAAAAAATTTTCCCATGATTTTCAATACTGAGTTTTGTAAATTCATTTTCCATGATTACATGAACCTGTACAAATCCTGGCACTCTTCAACTGCGTGAGGTATCTGTTGTATACCACTCTATTCCCTACTTTTCTAAACTTTAAAAAATTTAAATTCATGATTATTTTAGCTCTATTTATTCAAACTATGCCATTTCTCTTTAATTAAGTTCCTCACTTCTATATCGAGCTGGGTTTAGCAATTATATTCGTCCTCACTGATACATACTAATCCATAAGACTTAACAATTCTGTTTAAATCAAATTTGACATTTGCTATGTACTAGCCTTCTAGCAGTTCATCCCAGCTAATCTTTCATAACTACCTTTCAAAAATTTAAGATTTAGACAATGATACTGTCAGCTACAACTGGTAATTTAGGACTTTACAATAATTCGAACCACAGGCACACAAGAACTAATTCAATATCTTCTGCATTAGTTAAGACTACAGAGGAGTTAGCATTATACCAAAACAACTTTAAATAGTTAAATTAACAAGTCATGTGACAAGCACAACTAATATAAAACTGTGGTGGAAAGAAATGTGTCAGAACTACATTTTCATATTGTTTGGTATTTCATGGGCAGTGTGATACCACCAAAAATTAATTGTTTTGGGGAAAAGTATGTGGTAGCTCTTACTGATGCAAAATGTTCATAAACTCAGATTGTAATGATGTGCTGGAAGTGGAGATTTAGAATTTCCAAGATGTGAACATCCTTTATACTCTATAGTATTGGAAAACAAATGAATATGGATCAACTTGGAGAACCAGGACCATCCAGAAAAAGACCTCCAACAAATTGTACCACAGCTGTGGTAAGCAGAGTTGTAATAGTTGAAATTCCATGAACACACAGGTAAGTGGCAAACACCATCCATGTATCTAATACAATAGTACTCAACATAAAAAAAAAGGAACTCTGTCTGTGAACAAGGTCAATAGGTTCACCAAGATAAGGCTTCCAGTCATATCTGAAGCAGCTGGAGATTGAAATGGGTATTAATGTTATTCCATATGAAGACATATTAAGTAAAAAAAAAAAAAAAAAAAAAAAAAAGTTGCCAGTTGCAGCATTTATGGCTTTCTGTGCAAATCAGACTGTTG